TTTCCCTCCCCCACACACATCCGTATCGTCTCAGGGGGTGACCACAGTGTTCTGCCTTAATTCGTGACGTTTTTCTAAGAACTGGGTGCTATATACTGTGCGAAATCAATCGATCGTGCAACAATAAAGTTTTGGACATCCCTCTTCTAAGAATTCCAATTGAGTGTGTTAGTGTCGCCAGCTCAGGGCAATATGATATTATAAACACAAGCACATATCACATCTCTTCTGTTTATAAGTTCATAAGAAACAAAACAGGCCTTTCATGACAGGAGAATGGAGAAACCTCTCCCAAGAGCAACAGGAACTTTGCTGCAAGACAGGCATATGTAACGATGACTTGGCGCAGATAAAGTCGTGTCTTATTTATACTCTGTTCTACTGACAACAGGCCAGCGAAAAATCTAACAATCTACAGCAAAACCATCAATTATTATGGGCGTTATAACGTAGGTGTGCAGCTGGACGAAACATACACGTCGAACCCCCCAGACGATTTAAATCCCTGACGAAACATACACGTCGAACCACGGCAACGGGTTAAACAGACTTTATTATGGACATAAGATACTTTTTTGCTGTCTGTTAACCATCCCCATAAAATTATTTCATATGACATTATGGAATGGAAATAAGCAAGTGAAATAACTGTAAAGTTTCTAATTTCATGATGCATGTGACTGTCATTATAAGCGAAGCATACTGAACTTGGTTGAGAAGTAGTACATGGGTTCTCCAATTTGAAGTCCAAGAAATATAGCTGCTTCCACTTCTGCAACTGTTTTATAATCATACACTACATTTAGAGCAGAACAAGTTTGTTTCAGTGCAGAATTTAATGATACTTATCCTGTTACAATTTAATTTAAGTTTATTGGCTTTACCATTTGTTCAAGCCAGAGAACACATCATTCATGTAATTTTGAAAGTACAGGAGTCAATTTTCAGATATGAAATAGCATTTCTAGTATTATCAGGAAAGAGTATGGGTTAGATTGCAAGTTATCTGTTTCAGGCAGACTGCTGACATATGTATGAAGAAACAAACTCCGTAATTTTAGTCCACAAGTGAACTATACTGACTGAGCAACCACCGCTTGTCAGCAAATCTGATATATATATATATGGAAAAAGCAGAGGATGATCTAATGAACTGTAACCGATTACTCCTTTTTAGTACAGTCAACTCTCGATTATCCGGGATAATGGTGGGGATGGAAATCACGATTAATCGAAAACCCGGTTAAGACAAATTTTATTAAAAGTAGTACTGTAATACTGTACCTTCATAATACTACAGGCCTACCTGTATTTAAATTTATTCAACCTCATTTTTATGTCATCTCATGGCCTATGTAATACTTTTTTTATGTTACACTGAAGTATGAATTAGTTATTTCAATCACAGTCTTCAACAACATCCAACACTTTTTACGAATATTCACACTTAACACTTAAAAGAATTTAATATTGTCGTTTACTTTTTCGCGGCATTTTCCTTTTTCTGTTGAATATTTAACACAACACGCTTCCTATTACACCCTGACATTTTGCTAACGCACTTGAAGATCAATACAAAGAAACTAACTGGGGCGATGTATCTGTCCTTGAAACTTTCCACAAATCCTTGCATTCTTTCACCCATACCCTAGAACATTGTGTTAGCATAACGGGACCAAAGAATGCAGAGCTCGGTTCACACTAGTGCGAAAATCGTGTTACAACTGACCATGTGAAACAAAAGTGAATGAATATTAAACAACATATAAGCCTCAAAACAGCCTCAGTAGCCCCGGTTAAGCCGCAAAAAGGTTAATCCGCCCCCGGATAATCGAGAGTTGACTGTAATATATTTCGCCTAATTTATGCATACCTTCATTTTTATGTAACTTTAGTATTTTAACAAAACTTAAATTACAAGTTTGGGTCAACTGCGTACATTACTATGCACTATAAATTGTTGAGAACTATGTATTGAAAGGGGATGACTCACTGCCTTGTGACCCTCACGAAACTCGTGATTTAGTTATTTCTTTGTCTTATGATGGGTGATGTAAGCCCAAGGTGTAGGTAGGTATGTAGGGGATTTACAGCGGTACTTCCCACCAACAGCCAATCAGCTTGCTGAAATTGTAATATGACATCATACCAATGCTGAGGTGTCGACACGTAAAGCTCTTTGTCCAGAAGAGACGCTAACTAGTTCCCAAGTGGTGAAGACGTGTTCGTACACGTTCCATCTTCACACAAAGGAACACAGGTCTGTACATTGTCCTACATTCAAGTGTAACCAACATGTAGATACAATTTGTTAAATAAAGTGTGTGTGTGTTATAAAGTTGTTGCGGTTTTGTTGACCGTCTTTGTTGAAGCCAAGGCCCACTTAAAGGCCCTGGTGATAGCCTCATGTTCCCTGACTGGGGTGGCGTAAAAACAACTATCAAGGTGAGGCAACATCATCACAGACTTCTACAGAATTGCTAGCAGGTGATTCACCAGTGAGCAGCTACATCCACTTTTACCCTTCACCAGAAGGCAGCTGCGGTCAGCATCAACCCAACAAGTGGCCAAACACACCACAAAAGTAAACAGCGATAGAACACTGAACATGTCCATATCTCCAGTATGAGCAGGTTTTTGTAATTTGAGGTGGTGTATTCATGTGGCCACCAATACAACACTTTACAAGTAAATAACTCTAATATTAATATGTTAATACTGCTTTTTTTTTTCTACGCTACTACATGTTTTGGTCAATGTGATCATACTCAGGTGCTTGCAATAAGTACATAACCATCATCAATGAAATAATGGACGAATATGGCTCCATATTAGTAAACATCATGAATTAATTTGATCTGTTTCATTCTGGTCCATCACACTAACAATATTATAAAAAGATAAAACAGTTCCAGCCAGTGAGACTGGACAGAACTGTTTAATCTTTTTATAATCATGAATTAAATATTAAATTCCTATATTTTGGGTGTGAATGTTTGACTTTTTTATAATATGATAAGGTTAAAAGTTGAGAACTAAAATGTTAAATACCATTTAAATAGTTTAATAAAATTGACAGAACAAAATAGAATATAATTGGGATGACTGTGTAATATATTTTGTCATGTTTCCCCAATGTTTGTATGTCTTCAAGAAACATGTGGCGTGATGTCAATAAAATTGACAGAATACAATAGAATAAAATATAGTTGGGATGATCTGCTAATATGTTTAGTCATGTTTTCCCTGATGTTTTTATGTCTTCTAAGAGAAGAGTGGTGAGCATTTGGTTGTAGCTTTATGTATTGTAGGTGTTGAATAGAAGTGGGTTTGTAGGTTTATAGTAATTAGATATACAGTATATACTGAATGCGTAGATTTGGTGGAGTTTGCTATTCTTTTACGAGTATGTTTTCTTTTCACTGTACATTATTGGTTATAAAATTATTTTATGAATATTCAATATGTATGTTTATTTATGTCATAATATCAGTGGTTAAGTGTAGTGAGTCATATTAATACCCCTCTGATGCTACATAACAGGATGCAAACAATAGAAAAATTTATAATTTGAGTATGATGACTTTATTTCTACTTGTTGCTTCCTGTTATGGAAGTATAATATAAACCAATGTACGCTATACCTCAAATTCCTTCAAAAATATTTCAGGTTTAAAAACATGATTACCTGAAGATACAGAGCTTCCTTTCTGAACACCTTGCATAATGAATATATTCCTGATGGAACGGTTTTCAAACTGCAATCGGACAAATCAAATACTGGTTCTGGGTTTTCTCGGGCCTGTAAATGAAAGTATTTGTTATCCAAAATCCCACAGAATTTTTGTTTTGATGTATCGCAACAAAACAAAATGTTACTGATCTATCTTTACTTACCAGATACAATTTGTGTTCCAAACGCGACTTGTCAACACCTTTAATGCTTTTCTTACCAAACAGATTTAATGGCATTTTTAAAGTTTGGCAATCGTATTTACATTGAACAATCTTTTAAATACGGTATAATAAAATATTGTCGCGTGTTGGGTATGCACAGCGACAAATAAATTCACGTAGCCTTCGGATTAAACGATTATTTATTGAACTCATTCATTTACACTTATTATTCCGTTGATCCGTTGTCTAGCAACGGCTGTTTGGAATAATGCGTTCTTCAGCACGTTACAATATAATGGCAGATTTTTTTACTGCTTCTGTTCAATTTTTATTCACATCCTTCATCTTACACATCCTTCGTTATGTGACTTGTGTATCTTAATTAGTTCCTCATTGCTAGCGTGCTAAATACGGAAAATTCAACTCATACCGAACTGTATGTCACACGGGCGAATGCAAATTAATCGATTTCCTTTTGTTCTATTCTGTCAACAACACGCATGACTCTTATTCCATCAACAATCGCAGTCTTCGCCTACTGCGACTATTCTGAAGAACAGAATCACTTACACACATTGCTTATCGGCAGAACCAGTTACCTCGAATCGGGTTTTTAAGGGCCAGTTTACAGTTTACACTAAAAGGCTCAAAACCCTTCTACGCATCAATCACTAAGTATATACACGTGAGATTTGTGGTTCTCACAATCTCACAATGGTCTGTACCTAAATTACAACCACCTGCGGCGTGCCGCCATGTTGTTGATCAAATGGGTACCAACGATACCAACGTTTTGGAAGAAACTCCGAAATGTTGGCACCAATCACGGCGTCAAATCCAAATCGGTCAAATCCGTCAAATCGAAGAGGACTGGAGAGTTAATTGTATGTGCATATATGGAAACGAATTCTGCGGGCTGCTAGTCGTTCCAGTGTTCAGTAATCTGTCCGCATCTACCCACTGGATATTCTTGGCGAATACTGTAGTGGTAGCGGTTGTTCGGAAATACTTAAAATTACAATCTTCTGTGATGTGAAGCAGCCTAGTGTGGTACAACTATATCTACTTTTTTATTGTAGAAAAAATATCGTAAATACAATGAGGCCTAGGCAATGCCCATCCGGCCTTCTCTTATAAACATCTCATTCTATAATAACGGTAACCCCGCGATTCTTAATATAGATCTTAACTTAAATCTGGGAGTATACTGTTAATAACTGGTAATTATCTCACACACTCACATGGAACACTTAAACATAATGGGCTTACTACCATGCAGTATTCAAACAGTTGGCTCTGGATTAATTTTATTGTAACCTGGGCTTTGAGGTGTTCTATATCTGGAGGTGCTATCGCCAAATGTTGATCTGATGAACAAAAATAAATTTAATTGAAAAAGAGTGGAATTAAATGGAATCATTGTTCGACTTTGTCTTATTAACTACAGAACTGAACAGATCTATATGGCCATGGTTATTATTAATAATTGTTTACAATATCACAATTCCTAATTGTACAGATCAACAGAGCAAACGCCATTTTTGTTAACAATAATGCTGTCAGTATTGAGACCATACAGTGCTGATGATAAGATGATTAAATGCAGAGGAATTGGAATAAGATATGGCAATAGGAAACCAAAGTACATACTTAATCTGTCCACCACAAATCCTACATGACCTGACCCAGGATTAAACCTAAGGCACTAACTAATTGCCTGAATTATGGCACTGCCAACAGAGCAGACTAAAATTATTTAAATTGAAGGATTTTAATGTATAACTGAACAGTACAAGGCAAATGCTCAAAATCACATTACAAATGAATACATGCATAGATAACCTACACATCCTTCATCAAATACAGGATTCAAAACTAAGATTCAAAAATAAAACTCCATGGAATTTTAAGAAATTTGAAAGTTGATTACATAATTCAAAAATGGCCACCACTGCCACCTAAGCCAGATGAATCCAGTCAACATCCTCCTCTCCTGTTCCTTTAAGATCTATGTTAATTTTATCCTACCATCTACACCTAAGTTCTTTTTCCTTCAGGCTTCCCCACCAAAACCATGTATTTCCTGCCTCCCCATGCATGCTTCATGATCTGCACATCTTATTCCCTTCATTTTTCATTTATGAAGGTCCTCTTTATGTGACTTTCTTCAGCCTACTTAACTTCCAAGTCCAAACATGCTCCTCAGCACAGTTCTTAAATGGCAATTTATGTTCTTCCTTTAATATGAGAGACCAAATTTCTTTGCATAATTTCCATATTGCATATTGTTTAATATGGGTGGTCTCTCTTTATGGTGCTTATGTTATCCCCCCAAAAATTAACATCAGCAGGAACAATACCTTATATGTCCCATTCAGTTTAAATCCCTTCTAGTTTTCTGAACTTCCTAATAACATACTGCAAATAAAAGTTGGAATGCACAGCATTAAAGCATCTCCTTGTTTCAAACCATTCTGAGTATGAAACAAGCAAATTTTTACCTACATAAACTTTACCAAAGCTTTCAGCAAAGCACATCAGAATTAACCTAATTAGTTTTGTGGGTATACCAAACTTCTGTCTTGATGGATTAGGCTGTCTGGCCTGATATTCTTTAGAATTAATTTTACCAAATTTAAATGATAATATTGCATAATAATTCCCTCCTAACTGAAATGGGCTTCCTTTAAGTCTGTAAACAGCTGATGTACTCTAAGAACAGAAGCATGCCTTTGGATCTAAAATTTAGCTAGTTCAGTCCAGTTATTGAGTCGTTTTACATTCTGTTTCCTCCAATAGCATAAGAGGTACATAAACTACACAATTCAATGCTGGAACATTTCCTTGAACACATTTTGATGAAGTTCTGCACTGAAAACTTCTTAGGTTTGCCACTTTAATTGCAATGTATAATTAACATTTTAAGATGTTCTGAGATTCAAGGCTCTTATAGTGGTGAATATTAAGTTTATATTCTTTGGGGGTAGGATGCTGCGTACTTTGGTTCAGGGAAGCCTGCTGCTTCCATAGAAGAGTGTTTTTAGTAGTTTGATTCTCTTGATTGGAATCCTCAAAAAGAAAATAGTGGCAAGTGGGAGGGATTAAGTTCATGTTGTTGCTGCTGCTGTCTTCCCTGTGAGAGTTCCTTTACAGTGACTCAATAAAGGGCAACATAATAAACAATTCACAAAAGAAACGTGTCAAGGACAAATTATAATACCAAAACTGATAAATCTGATATGTGTGTAACAGGAAAAAATTGGTTCCATATTACAGGTAGGAAGCACCCTACTATGAAATCTCTGTTGTCTGCTTGACTAAGAAATGAAATTTGAAGCAGAAAAAGAGATCCTGTAGAAAAAGTTTTGGTTTTACCCAGAAGAAAAAAGTGAATAGAAAATGGCTATGCATAAACACAGGATAGTGGGATATTTCACACTGATGTTCAGAATTAAAAAGAATTTAATTCAACAATTTTATTTGTAATCATAATAACACAGTCCCACATCCACCATTTCATGTTAACCCCTCAAGATATTATCTGCAACTGAACATAAACCTTAAAAAAAAATCACACTGATGTTTCACCTTACAAAATTAGAAACATAAGTTATTTATAATAATAATAATAATAATAATAAAAATAAAACTGCACAATAACTATCAGTCACGGTCTTAACGACTCGTGTTATCCCTGCCGACTATTAATTTCATGATTGCGGATATATATATTACTTAAATGGAGTCAGGTGTTCTGCGTCCATCAAATATTTTTTGTTTCCAGTGACTGTTGCAACATCAAATGTACAAGTTCAGCCATAACACATGAATAATGATCAGAAGCCCAGTGCCCAAGAAGCTGCCACATAGAAGCATCCTGTGTCACTTGGCTTTTGTAACAGTCTGAGAGTCTGGTGAACACCTTTGTTAATGAGATCTGAGGTTCTCACGGCAGTGAATATAAAGATTGTTGTCCTCTGGGAAGTGATGTGGTGTAGTCTGGTAGAAAGCTACCAAATGACCAGCACTGAACTTGTAGACAGCAGCTTCCACGCAAACACTGGTATGAATCTACCAGACTACACGGCATTACATCCCACAAGATCACAATCTCACCATTCTCAATATTTACAGCACAATATCTGCAAAATCAATGCAAACCACATGATTGGTACTACATGCCTCCTCAAACTGGAAACAATTCTTCAACATGTTCTCTTAAATATTTTATGTGCTTCCATTCACATGATTTTTATGCTTTAATATTTGTATTCATTTTGAACTGGGTGTGCCAAGTATAGCACCTTTCTTTACAAGTAACAGTTCTATACATCTGTAGCACTGTGCATACAGTAGTATCTTAACTTTACGATTTATGGCCATAAAGAACCATGGGGCTAGGATACCACAGTCATTTCAGCATTGTTTTCATTGTGTATATGTATATTACTTTTTGTAGGAAGGTTTGTCATGCTATGACCATTCAAATGCATAACTTGAATCCAGCTACACATTCTGCAATGATCATAGCCATTCAGCTGGTTGATCTGATGCTGCTGAGGGGAAATGCATGACTTCTCTAGGTGCTCTCCCACTGCTGTGCCTGTGTATGGCAGATCTATCTCATTGCATGGCAGGACATCAAATTTGCCACAAAATTACATACAGTAATATCCCCACTAAAGTCTCTCATGAGCAATGGAATCACACATTGGACTATGAGAGATCTTAAATAATCTAACATTGCCAATGTTAAAATTAAATGTTAAACAAGGAAAATCCTTAAACTGAAGAACAATGAATGAGAATTCCACTCGAAATGTTCCACAGTGTCTTTAACCTTCTCCACAGATGGCTCCATAATGTTAAATTAAGCTCTGGAATACTTCCATAATTTCATGGCAAATTTGGAGTGTTGTACAATGAAATAGAATATATCAATATTGGATAAGTTTACCCTGGAGCACGCGTGCTTCTAGCGTCCCAGACCAAACTCCTCGGCATCATCTTCTGTGATATCGCCATACATCCACATGTTCACATGTCTCCTCTTCGCAGCTTCTTGCGCTGCTCTGTATTCCACCATCTGCAATATGAATACAAACAATGCGATGTTTGACATGGAAGTTGTTGTGTGACTCGAAATAGAAGCAGCTGCAAATGTTCTGCTCACAGCACTGAACAAGACATGGGAAGCGTGAAGTGCTCACATCACCCCAATATATAAAAATACTTTCAACCACAGTTATCTGTTCACTATTCCAGAGAGATGGAAAAATAAACATCAGGGCTACAGTTACTATACTAAATATATACATGTTTATTTTTCATTTACATTTTATTTTAACCAGACTCCACTTCCAATAGTCTGCAGAGAACAGCTCAAGCCTCTGCTGTCTAGGGGCTAGTAATCAGAGAGCTCGGGTCCCCACCCCAACTGTACTCTTAATCTTTTCATATATATATACATATATATACACACACACACACACACACACGTTTTTTTATGATGGTATATATGTAGTATATATGAGAAAGTACTGTGATGGTAAAGAATATCCTGCTCAGGGTTTTTACAGATATGCATATTTTGGGCCCCTTCAATAAGAAAAAGTAGTTTCCAGCATGCCCATGTGTGCACACATGCATATGTAGGTATGTACAAATGTACACCTTGCTAGAGGTCTCAAGGGCTGGATGGAATTTGTTCATATTAAATATTCAAGAGTTTATTTCTTCTAGGTTGATGCCCAGTACACATGAAAATTCTAGCTCCAAAAATACAGGCCCTTTGGATGAGCCCCAAATACAAAACTGCTCTAACAATCCTGATTAAATTTCAGTAATTTGTGGAGACCACCCTAAATAAACTTTTTTTTTATTCCTAGTGGGGGTGGGACCAAGTCCCTTGTACTGCGGCCACTTCTGGCCTATTGTACCAGCCTCAGATAGCTGATGATGATTGTGGAGCAATTGCTGGAATGAATATTGGCAGGGGAAACTGAACTACTCAGAGAAAACCTGCCCCAGCACCACTTTGTCCACCACAAATCCCACTTCACCAGACCCGGGATCGAACCCGGGCCGCCGCGGTGGGAAGCCAATGACTAACCACTTGAGCTATGGTGCGACCTAAATAAACTTGCTATGGCAGTATCTTCAGGAAAATAACAGTACACACTAGAGGCCCACAAGTGAACTGTCAGTTTTTTAAACTGACCTTACTGGTCAAATGGATCTCACTGTACTTTGGCATTTAGCAATGATCTACTAAGCAGCAATCAATTTTGTTTCCAAGGTAACACAGTTATGGTCAACTGAACAGGGACCTCCTTACCAGTTTCTGCAGTCTTTTTTCTTTGCGGTTCTCACACATAAGAAGTCCTTCATGAATCAGTTTTTTGGCAATGTCCTCATCGTTATTGGTGATGTCAACTAATGTAGCATATGAAACATTTCCCTGCCTGTATTCTACGTTCAAATTCAGACTTGGATTCAGCGCACTCTTTAGAGCTTGGATTGCCTCTTCTTTATAATCTTCCTGAAAGAGAAACACTGTTTAGTCCTGATATATTTCTCATGTAAGTACTTTCAGTTTCACCTGCATTATGTCACATGGTACCTACATCATTCGGCAACTGAACGCAAGCCAGTGCAAACTCATGTGCATACGGCTTGTCTGTCGCAAAACTGGATGGTAGAGCAGCACACTGCGAAACATCCACAGTCTCTCGATTCCCATAGTCAATGTAGAATACACTGACCTTAGAGCCAGATATCTTCTCCACACGAGCACGATACCATTGCCCATCAAATGAAAACTTGGTTGCACATATTTCACTTCGCTTAGGGGTGTATGCACCGGCCAAAGGTGGATTTGCAGTGAATTCCTGTCTTATTTTTGCCACCAACTGCTCAAGCTTGGGACCATGTTCCACCAGTTGTGCATAAAAATGGAGCTCCGGTGTGACCTCAGTCACGTACACCTTCTGGTACTCTATCTTGCGTTCTGTGACATGATCCTCCTCAATTTTCTTTTCCTCTTCATTTTCTTCTACATAATCCTTCCACACCTATACAAAATATATTTTAGCATGTGAGATTTTAGATCCTCATGGCAGCGTGAATTTGACTTTGCCTATGAAGGTTACTGTCTTCTGGAATGGACATCATGTACTCTGGTACAAAGGTACCAGTTTTAAATAAGCCTGCCACTCCCATGTTCTTTTATCCTGATGACAGAGGCAGCATGTTCAACTGAAGTGTTGGCACCTACCTACCAGACTACATGTCATCACATCCCAGAATACTGCAATGATAAGGACAATGCAGCACATGGATCTGTGCCATTATGAAGAAGCTCAGCAACAGTCCACTTCCTCAGGCCCAGGGAATATAAATAAGTGAAAGAGTATGGGATCCAACATCAGTGAATTGATGGACGCAACAACACTGCATGCCTTGACAAGCAATGTCACAATGAAGCACCCAGCTTTTTTTCCCCTTGGGTCATTACAGCATTAAATTCTCCCTCTCTCAGTTACACTTCACATATATTAAATCTCAGAGAACAGTTCTGTTTACTGACCTTCAGTCTGGCAGCCTTTGCAGTGTCTTCAGCAGCCTTGAGTGCTCTGTAATGTTCAGAGTGTTCAGCTGTGAAATGTACGGATGCCAGTCCAGCCTCAACCAGAGCAACAGACAAATTATGGCCATCAACCCACAACCAACCAATGAAGTTTCCAGCCTTATCCATCGATTTTACTTGGACTTCAACGTCACGCTGCAGACACTTGTCCTTGGTGAACTGCAGTGCTTCCTCTCCAAAGGGTTCCCCATCTACTGGCCCTGCTCCTCCAATGCCTGGCCGGGAGCCTCGGGGGCAACTGATGCCCGCTAGCAGGAATGTAACAAGGCAGGAGTTTCCCTTGACAATATAAAGTCTTAGTCTAGAGCCACTTGCAACAAATTCTACTACAGCTTCAGTTCGAGCAGCTCGCTGAAGAGATGGCAGGTTCTGCTTTGCTTTGGTCAGGTCCTGCACAAACAAATACAATGGCATTGTATCTGCATTGCAATGAACTGGGGGCAGTAACTTCTCCATCATCAAATTTACAATTAATGTTTCTTACCCCTGTTACATCAAGAACACGATGGTTAGGAATATCCTTCCTTGCATGGACCCCAGCTCCAGATTTGGTAGCTTTCATTTCAGCAGCTAGAAGTTCATCATAGTGAGATGATCTCTGATCATCATCCTGACGATATCTGAGCACTGTAGCAAAGCCTTTGCTTACCATCGCTTCTGCTACATTACTGTAATATCACAAAACATATGTGCTTCAGGACAAACTTAAAGTACGTTCAAAATATCATAGGAAAAAGGAGTTTTCTGTTACACTCTCCCTAGGTTACATTTATTTATAATGGCACCTGTAGCATTAGCAGGGTTGGTTGAGTCACTATGCTACACGTAAGAAGGTTGCAGATTCAAGTCCCAATGAGGTGGATTTTTTCAATTTACTTGATCCTTCCAGCTGCACAATGACCCTAGGGTCGATTCAGCCTCGAAGAAAAATGAGTAAAGGGCAGCCAGCGCATAAGGCTGACAACTTGACCACCATCTGTGAGCTGACTGTCTGGAGAAAATGTGGGAGCCTTGATGTCTCACAACCATATGGGCCTTCACAGCCTGTTACAGGCATAGCTTTACCTTTTAACATTTTGTGATATATACTGCAGGATATATAAACACCTCTGCCATTTCTGCCAGCAGCTAGCAAACTAATTTCAAACAGCTGATTTTTAATTCTAAAGGGGGTTGAAGGGGAAGAAAGTTGTCAACTATCCCAGTGCACCTCCATTAAGGACAGTGTTAATTTTTAAGGTCTTTCATTCTGGTCCGTCACACTAACAAATTAACAATCAAGTTCCTTCCGTCAAATGTGACACTTTTTTTGAGTTTTCCACCTCGTCACCACCTGCCTTACATGTTTCGGCTCACCACGGAGCCATCATCAGAGGCATTTATAGTAGAAAAAGAAATCACCAACACACAAAACTTCACTTTGTCAAAAATAGCCACGTTCCAGTTAATTAAAATAATTACAAATATTTAAAATTAGCCAGAGTGTCGGTTCACTAAAAGTTTTTCACACACCACAGTAGCTCTTTTATTTGATTCGTCGTTAATTCTGTAAAATCATGTTTCGTTATTTGAAGTAAGAATTCTTAAAATCCCTAGAATTCTTTCCGGCTTGGCCCAATTTTTGCTTCGGGATGTTGTTGGCGTGTGTTGTCTGTCGGTAGTTGATGTTGCTTGTCTGTGTGCTGTGATGCAAAAAGCAAAAATTGGGCCAAGCCGGAAAGAATTCTAGGGATTTTAAGAATTCTTACTTCAAATAACGAAACATGATTTTACAGAATTAACGACGAATCAAATAAAAGAGCTACTGTGGTGTGTGAAAAACTTTTAGTGAACCGACACTCTGGCTAATTTTAAATATTTGTAATTATTTTAATTAACTGGAACGTGGCTATTTTTGACAAAGTGAAGTTTTGTGTGTTGGTGATTTCTTTTTCTACTATAAATGCCTCTGATGATGGCTCCGTGGTGAGCCGAAACATGTAAGGCAGGTGGTGACGAGGTGGAAAACTCAAAAAAAGTGTCACATTTGACGGAAGGAACTTGATTGTTACAGTGTTAATACTTATCATCTGGGAACTGGGATTTTAAATTTCATGATACAATCAGGGTTGGCAGCCATTTAATTTGGGGGTAAATGTTCTGTCATCCTGAATACAGATTTTAAATCCCTAAATACTACAGAGCTGACAGCCATGTTTTCCCTCATGATTAATGGTATTTGTAATGCAAAATGCAACGCTCGGCCAGCTGGGCATGTCCCTTCACAACGAAGATTAACTGATTCAAATGGAAATGAAAAATCAATAAATATTGCAAACACACTCTGTGATTCCATTGTCTGTGTTTGTGCTAGTAATACCCATATTGTAACATTAGGAAAAAACGCTAAATAGCACAGCAATACACGATTAATAAGACAGATATTTCATGTTGTATGTTTTTGCTATTGATATGCTACCAAAAATGAATGACTGAACACAAAGACAGCAGAAACTAAGCTCTTGGTATTGCTACCATTGCAGGAGAAGTTTCAAGCTTCTAACGGACATTAATTTGATTGGTGTGTGTATTCAAATTCACTGAATTTACATTATTCGACAGTCACAAGTACATATGTGAGAGGTTTCATTTTAGCTTCTGTTCATAACAAGATATGTCAATTTAGTGCATGAGATTTTGGATTCTCACAGCGATGAATATTAAGACAGTTCTTCTGGGATGTGATACAGTCTTGTCTGGCAGATTGTTACCTCTTACTTTGGATGAACACACTGTCTCCACCTTCCACCCCAAAACAATGCTACCCATTTACCAGACTGCATGGCATCACATCCCAGAACACAGTCTTAATGTCAATTAAGACTATGTTTAACAGATAATACTCACACTCCACCAATAGTAACTGTACAGCAAACTTTCTCAGGGAAGTTGTCCTTCGCAGTTTGAATGTAATCAACAACAACATTCACCTTCTTGCCAATCAGCTTTTTACGCAGAAACTCACGGGCTTCAAACATCCATGGAATGTCATACAGAGGACGGAAACCCTTTGATCGTGGAGGTGGAGGCTCATTAGGCTTCTCCTCTGTTGTCCTGCTAAAATGTATTTCCAAAGATAAAATTACAGCCAGGCCTGGAAATATACTAATTGCATTCTTACTTACTTACTCATGGAGCTGAGACCTTCTTCAGGAGCGGCCAATTCTGCAGCTACTCAAGAATTTCCCAGCATTTTATGGAACATAAAGGTTCATTACCATGCTCACAAGAGCCCTCAATTGGTCCCTATCCTAAGCCAGACCAACCCAATCCACGGCATCCCATCCTATCTCTCTTAAGATCCATTTTAATATTGTTCACCCACCTACGCCAGTGGTCTCTTTCCTTCTGGCTTTCCCACCAATATCCTATATGCATTCCTCGTCTCCCCCATTCGTGCTACATGCCCTGCCCACCTCATCCTCCTTGACTTGATGATTCTAATTATACTTGGAGAAGGGTACAAGTTATGAAGCTCCTCATTATGCAGTTTTCTCCAACCTCCTGTCACTTCATCTCTCTTCAGTCCAAATATTCTCCTAAGCACCCTGTTCTCAAACACCCTCAGTCTATGTAAGCACTGACCTCTGTTCTCTTGGAGGCCGGATACTTGCTAGGAAGATCTTCTTGACTGTTCCATCTGCAGTCTTAACCATCAGGGCATCTCCATTCACAACTTCAGTGACTGTGGCTGTATATTCTTTCTCCATTCCTGAAATCTGGAACAAGAAAATATTTTGGGAAAGACAATATTTAACATACCAAACGAAGTATAGATATCCATAATTTTGCAATAATGGGCACACATATATGTAAGGAAACACAAGCATCTAAACTGACAACACTTCGAAAAATAATAATACTTTAGTGCTTAAATAACTAGTCCTACAATCAAGCATGGAACAGAAAATGTTATATATATTAGAATACTTTTTATGCAAATGAAGTCATTCAAACCTGCGGGCCAGTTGCTTGGTAGTCTTTCCATTTTCTAATTTTGCCCTCCTTCGCTAACTTTTCAGCTGCTCGAAGTTTGTCAGAGCCACTCTTCATGAATGCCATTGACCAGTCAACACATTGTGCAAACCCCTCCTTCAACAAGGCTTCTGCAATATTACCTCTCTGCAAAACAGTGAATCAGCATTATCAACACAAGCTCCAAACTGCTGCACATTCTCTTCACTATTATCATCCAGGGACAAAGGATGTCAACACCTGCTACATCATAACCACTGTCACGTGTATTAGTGACTAATAACGTGGGTTCTGGATTCGATGAACGGGTTTATATAGTCCTGATACACTCATTCATGGAGCTAAGCCCTTCTTGAGAAGCCACCAACTGTGCAGCTACTCAAGAACTTCCCAGCATTTTATGGAACCCAAAGGTTCATTACTGTGCTCACAAGAGGTCTCCACTGGTCCCTATCCTGAGCCAGATCAATCAAATCCATTCCATCCTTACTGCTGATACACACCACCAGTAATTACGCATAATTTTAACACTATCACTATCTCTACACTTCCTAATTCACCGCTGTACACACACACATCATCTCCTGGTAACACAATTAAAAAACAGGAACTATAAAAGTCTTCAAATCACATATTAAATCTTCACATGCTGACTTCTTGTACTCTTCTGTACTCCTCCTGCTTACTGTTATCCTGTTTGCATGCTCCTGCCGCTACAACTCACTCGTAACTCATAACTGCTCTGAACGAATTGTCACCTTTACTTATAGAACCGCGGAACAGACGTGGACCTACAGTAAACACATATCACGTGATCGCTATCCAGCCAGTCTACTGGCACGTTGGTCAGATCTGCAGAAACCATATTACATGATCTCTGTCCAGTGCTGTGTGACATGACTGTGGACATGGAAAACATGTCTTTCTCTGTTGTTGCATGTTGGACCATGTTTACAGAGCTGTTGCCAAGCAACACATTGATCAAATCTGTTACAATATCTACAGCTCCCTCCTCCTCCTCCATTAATCAGAACACCCTTTTTCCTTTTACTTCACGTATGATCCTATCACATAATTTTGAAATCAACCTACAGGATATTAACAGCAATAAGAAAGGACAACAACAAAACTGTGAATGTGTAAGATGCTGACAATATTATGGTATTTATTAAAATGCTCCTAAATGTTGTGAATTTAATATTTTAGAATGGCATTTTGTTTGGCCCCTATGCTTTCACTAAAAATTCCCATCAACATTCATTGCCTCAAGTGACAGCTCATGCTTTATATGTAATTCAATAAACTGATAATCATGAAATAGTTAAACTTACTGGGTGAAGGATACTCCCAACAAAGTTGTTGTTACTAACAGACTCCAAAATAATCTCAACATCTCTCTGCAGCAGCCGAGACTCCACAAAAAACTTGGCTTCTTCAGCATAAGGCACCTTTGCAGATGGGTCTGGTTTACCATCATTATCAAGTTTGAATCCAGGGCACTGGAGAATAAAGATAGGTTACTTTTGCACAAAGTCAACAAATTCCAGGTTGTGACAACAATCAACCATAATACTTACTCTAATTCCAGAGATCATAAGTGTGATGTAATAAAAGTCTGGCAACAAGAATGCCCTTACAGTGGAACCATCTCGCACACTTTCGATAACAGCCTTTATAGGTTTCCCACCACACTTGTCCACAAAGTTGCGTGGATTGTCTATTGACCATATGATATCTCGTACATGCTCCTAAAGAAAAATAAACATTTTTAAAGTAAATGACTAGGTATTCAACAACATTACCTCTGGTCTACAATGACTTCACTATATGGCAAACAAACTTCCAGCTGCTATGGAACAGAAGACATGACACAACTTCTCACACCCTGACTGACAGGCATGAACAATCCTGAGAGTTCTTACTCAAGTAGGCCTGCCATTACTTCCGGTGCTGCTGCTGCTGCTAGTACTACTACTACTACTACTACTACTACTACTACTACCACCACCACCACCACTACCCCTACCACTGTTGCTACCACCACCACCAAAAGTGTTTTACTAACTAACTCCTTCAGAAGTTAAGCTACTCATAAAATTCCTATTTATGGAACTGCAGGTTCATTGCCTTGTTCACAAGAGCATTCCCTCTATTATGAGTAGTGGCAACTTTCTAACTTTATACCATAATCTAGACAAATTAAGAATGCGAAAATATTAACAAATGTACATTCTCAGATTTATCAAAATCCTCATTCATGGAATCTCTGGAAATACACTGGTTCTGAACATTACTTGTAAACTGAAGGAAATCCTGAAGTGGTAAGAAGTACACCAAACAGGGATGGACTGAAATCATATAGTTAAATGTTGACAGACAAAAACTATGAAATCCTGTACAAAGTTCTGAGAATGACTTTGATGCCATGGATGCGGACATGGCTACAATGTCATTCCAGCATTCACTATTACTTTCCAATTCTTTGATTCCCCAAAAAGTCAAGTTTAATTCAATGAGTACAAGGTAAGTCAGAGTGACCAACAACCATGTGGAAATCAGGAAATAAGTTATTTCTGCAGTCAGTGTGCAGCAATGGAAGAAAGGAAAAGAACAATTACTAGATACACAGAGAATTCTGTGGGCCCAAAACTATTATGAAGAGATCGCAGGCAAAATTTTGTTTGTGCTACAGTACTGTACCTGAGAGTTTTATCTTGACAAGAGATAACAATTCTTTACCTTCAGAGTTTATCACTGTGAACAGGTTTGCCTTGCAACTGAGACACATTGCAGCTAGATATATATGGTACTCTAACTCACACACATTAGATTTAGAATGCAGTAATTTTATTCAAAAACAATTTTCAACTCTAAGATCATTATGGTAAACTTGTATTTCTATACGTGACGACAGCCTTTGGCTGTTTGATCAAGGTATATAATACTGGCCTTGTTCTGGGTATAGCAAGCACAAATAAAGGAATTCTGAACCAGATATAATATGCAAGCAAAAGCAGCTCAGACACAAAAAGTTAACTTCCTGCTATGTAAAAATTAATAAATCATGTTATCAGCAAAATGTTCCACATTATCAATGTGCAGAAATGTTGGCTAATTCACAAATAAATTAAATGATAAGCAACGAAAATGTAACACTTTTGTGCTGAATTTTCAATCATAAAAAATTACTCAAAAATTACTGCCATATATTAACTTTCATCAGACATGTGTTGCATTATTGCAAGAGCATGTGTGCATGATACAGCTGACCAAGCACTGCTTTTATCAGTAATGATAAGGTTAGCTCAACACTCAAACTAAAGCATGGCCTCCAACCCTCTAGTACCGAGATATTTTTCCCAGACTATGGAAGTTAATATTGAGTATCAAACACTATTCATATTTGATGGAATAACTTCAAAAGAACTGAACTAGAACTTCCAGGCCCACGCATAACTTATGTAACAACTAAGCACAATACAGTTCTGCGAAGTTCCGAAGTATTGACAGAGTAAGACAAAATTCAATAAGAGTTTGTAATTCATTACATAACAAAGTGGAATTACAGAGTCCCAGGAAATTATACAGTAGTCCCCCAACCAACTAGAAAACAGAAAATAAAGAGACAGAAAATTCAACTCTTTATGAATGAGCTCTGAATGGGAACTGTATGGCTGAATTAAACGTTTCTGGGCTGAATGAAATGGTATATGAACAGATAGACATACAGCCTCACTATATACGAGTTTTATTTTTCCTGTCAAACACAAAAATATACCAAACAACTCACTCACATTTCACTGTGCATAACTGACAAGGGAATGGTCTGACCCGACATGGCGAAACCTGCCTGATTTTTTTTTTCACTGCAAGAGTACACACAACAAAATCCACTGTCAACATTTTAGCTGCTAATACGCACTGGTAGTGTTTTTTAAAAATTGCTGAACATGGCCAATATTGTAGCCTGCCAGGCCCTTGGAGAAACGTCCACCCCTAGCAGAGCAGTACGCAACATGGCTGACTCACAGCCTAGGCTGGGGTTGTACAAACCTCTGGTACAAGTGGTTCCACGTACAGAAAAAAATGAATAACTTCGGCAATTTTTAAAAAATACTTGCAGTGTGTATTAGCAGCTGAAATTTTGACAGTGGATTTTGTTGAGCGTACTCTTGCAGCGAAAAAAAAATCATGGCAGGTTTCAACATGTCGGATCAGACCATTCCGTTGTGAGTGTTATACAGTGTCGCAACATGTTTCGGCTCATGGGGCCATCATCAGGTCATACATTAATAAACCTTATACTATTGAATTATGCCTCTTATATGGATCTATATATTATACCAATCACTGTGTGTTACAATAAACCGAAAAATAGTGTGCTTCTTTCCCCTTCATTAATCACCTACATATATGCACAGATTCGCACCAACTTCGCCAACAAGTGGCGGTTGCTCAGTCGGTATAGTTCACTTTCAGACTAAAAGCCACAGAGTTTATTATGCACTGTTTAAGTGGTTGTGTTTTTATACTGCTTTGAAAATGTATTAAACAAGTATTTAAAACTTACTGGGAGTCTTAAAATATAAAACATATTTAAATTACAAGGGAATCAACCACTAAGAATATTTAGAATACAGCTTTTCCATGGGTTTTATATTCTAATAACATTTCAACCTATTACTGTATCTTAATATACATTTTTAATATTTTGACACTCCAGTAACTTCTAAATACTTGTATAATACATTTTTAAAGCAGTATAAAACACAAACACTTAACTATGCATATATAGGTGATTAACGAAGAGGAAAGAAGCACGCTATATTTTTCAGTTTGTTATAACACACGATTAGTAAGATATATGGATCCAATTAAGAGGCATAATTCAATAGTATAAGGTTTATTAATGTATGACCTGATGATGGCTCAATGAGCCAAAACATGCTGCGACACTGTACAACCAATAAACTCAGTTATGCACAGTGAAATGTGAGCAAGTTGTCTGGTATATCGTGTGTTTGAAAGGAAAAATAAAACTTGTATATAGTACTAACACACAACAGGATGCATCCCTTAAAGAATACAGCCTCACATTTTATTTTTAGGTGCAGGCCCAGCCTAATTACATGATAATATGTCACACTCAGGGTTTTACTGCATCATATGCTAAAAGTGCTCTGTTTCCGAGTGTGTTAATGTGACCATTTTCAGGGTTCATGGGGTAGGAAGATCATATGGCCCAATATATATTGCACAGCACCACACTCCACCCCCTCCCTTACTCCCACTGTGAGACTTGTATGTAAGCTCTGTTTAAAACAAGTACAAATGTAGACTCCCATCAATACACAGTGTCCCATATATCTGGGACCACAGGAGACCTTAGTTCTTTCACAAAATACTGAAAAATGCATATAGACAAAATCTGTTCCAATCATGCATTTCCAGTCTTAAATGTCAGAATGTTTTACCTACAACAAGACATTACAGCACTAAGCTCTTCATATATATATATATATATATATACAGCAAGAAGTAATCTTGACGCTGCCCAGGTTGCATGACAGCAAAATAGGGATATGTTTCCAAGGTAGAGGAAAGTTGTACTTACGGAGAGACAAGCAGACACAAAGTGAAACAGGAACAGTGAATAAAACTACTGTTTTAATGTATTCATACACAAACAATATTAAAGTGTGGTCAATTGTGGCAAAATCCTGCAGGTACACAAAACCACACACATGCATATATCAAACTGATGTCAGTCTTGTTGTGTGCATGCTTGCCACTGTTGGCCACGCTGAAATGCTGTGGCATGTAGACCCCATTGCTAGACAGCAAAAGAAGCAACTATACAACATCAGCTGCTAAGTAATGGCTCTGCAAACAATGGCCGTCGCTAGGCAATGGCTAAATAGCAATCCCATGGGAACTCCAACATACACGAACACAAGAATAGCATAGTAACAGAGGAACAGTGTTTTCTGTGCAGTCTGTGTCGAGATGTTATAAGCAAGATGGTCAGAAGAGCCAGTCAGTCAATAGAGGAATTAATATGTTGGTCAGATAACCACTGGGGTTCAGTCATTCTGAGCTGTTGCTGTGAGAAGCTGGTAGCTGAGGCCAGGGACAGTTTGGGGACCCAGAGTGAGGGAATGTCCACTGTTGCAAACTGCTACCAGGTAACAGCTAGTAAGACCTAGTGTGTCCTATAGTGATTTATAAAGCGTGCAGAACAGCAAAACCATAATCCTTAGTTGTAGTTATGAGTTTTAAAAGTTCAATAAATCCAGTTACCAATCCAAACCCCATCTAGTCAATCACATAGGTAAAGATGTCCCTGTGCTTAACTAATTAAGCACTACGCCATGAAGGCGTATGGGGAAGTGGATGTATAGATACAAATTTTCTTGACCTCGGCAAAAGAGCCCCTGGTGCCCATTGTATAGGAGGTTGGGTGGACCCCAGAGCCAGTCTGGACGCTACAGTCACTAATATATGCGACAACATTCTGCCTCCATTACAAAGACCAACCAGTTAATGCTGTTTACTGTAAGAATCATAAAAAACATACAAATACACTTTATGGGAAGAATTCAGAATCTCAGGCTGTACACTTAGTAACCACTCGGTTTTAAATGGTTAAAGTACAACTGGGTGTGGTCCCCTTACTTGGTGTTCTTGGATAAGGCCCTAGACTCTAATTCAGCAAGTTCCAAGTCTGACACCCAGTTAGATGTGTGCAGTTCTTTTCCTGAACGGGTGAAATTCTGAATCCCCCCCCCTCAATCCACCCCCAAGGTTTGGAACCTATGTTAAGCTGCTGGTCCCTTCTGCTGACTACCATTCTCATAACCACACTAGCAATGGGGGAAACAAAGTACGTCCTATGGGTGCCCCCACCTCAAAAATGTATTCTACATCCCTATGTTGGAAATGTCACAAAGGACAACACTGACTACATCTGGACATCTGGAAGCATTATACAAATAACATATGACTAATAACATTAACATATGTTTAGTTTCCTTTGGCTTGGTGCAGACACATTAACGTACTCCATTTTCATCTTTTCTTTAAACATGGAGTAATATTTATAGGCAAAACAGAACTGCAGTAACATTATGTGAGAGAACATCCAATTCTGAACCTTTATCCTTTTAAGATTATGCATTTCCACCACAAAGGATACACAGAGATTCGGGTACAAACACAATTTTCACTTTACACAACAACAGAACAGCTGCCATGTTGTCTCTAGAAGAATTTTTCTAGTTATCAGAATATATTCCATAACCAAGTCAAAACAAACACTATAAAACTGAACCTTTCATGTTAAGTTCAATTACCTGGCTTCCTCTAACAGCCCATTTACCCTTACCAGCAGCTTTTGCTGCCTCTTCCAACTCAATAAGACGCTGTTGCTCGGGTCCTTGACGTACTCCCTGATGGCGAACACTGACTAGGCCTTCTGACACTAAGGACTCCGTCACATTTTCTCCAGTAGCAATGTCTACAGAAAATTTAAGAACTGTCAGCTTCAACATCATTTACTTGCTTTATTTGGAAACAAATTATGCAGTACTATCAACTGTATCTAATTACCCTTGCCAAGATAGATGCAGCCATATTCTCGTGATGTATTAGGAGGTTTTTCCAAAGTAAACAAAACCTCTTCACCAACCAGTTTCTTGCGTAAGTACTCTCGTGCTTCCCATGCATATGGTTCATCTTTTGTCCCTTCCGCACTGTCAAAACAATCATTATTTGAGCAAGTACTTAAGATTCAAACACTCATATTAAAAAATAACTAATATCCGATAATATTAAACAATTTACTTGTTGACGGCACGTCGACCCAACTTTGGTGCAATGATATTGGAGAGGCTAAGTGTCTTCTCTGGTGGAGGACCTCCTTTTGGTTGCCCTCTGATAATGACAGAATCCCCTGAAAGGACCTACGAAGGAAATACTCATTACACTACGCTTGTCTGTAATACGTAACTGATGCCCATATGTGAAATGGCCCATGCTTTCAAGTATCTGCTGCCAACAGGGCAAACGACGGCTTCATAAAATGATTAATCAATAATACAACCAACTAAATTCTTTACATACATTGACGAATGACTTCCAAACATACCGTACGGAACAAACGCCTTTTGTCCCACCTACCTGCTTTACAATGCCTTGGTTCACTTTCGTCTGTCGTGTACTCATTCTGCTGCTACAGCCATGCAGTGTGCTAAAAGTGACCGTAACGTCACGTGATCTCGGTCACGTCTTCCTTCCCGTTTAGGTAGGCAAAGAATTTTGTACGGCCAGAAAAGAACTCTGTAAGGCACTCTGTAGTTTAACGTAAGATTTATAACACAGCCGATGAAGAAAAGAATATTAGTTTCATTCAGCCACAGATCACCTGAGCTCTAGCTGGTGTTGCTGATGTGGCAGACGAATCACTTTAGATACCATCTAGTGTCAGACATACGAAGCAATCGATTACGGGTTGGCGTATTTTGGTACAATGAGGGAAGGAAGTTGTAGAGGTTTGTAAGTTGTGGTGTAAAGTATGTATGTGGTTTTCTTGCCTTGAGGGCCCTATTCTAAAACCTAACATTTTATTTTCTGTTTCTTATCTCCGCCTTTTGTGCAGATTTAGCTTTCAGGCCTACCAACAGACCTCATGCGACGTGCTCTCTCTTCTCAAAGTAGGCAAGTTGGTCATTGTGCTAATCTCACGTTTTGAAGTTTCGAGGGTTTCGAGTGATGTGCGGTGTATTTTAAAATTGGCTACTGTCCAAATCCGCATTCCACCACCACTACCTTGTGCAAATATTCCATACCATAGAAACATTTTCAAATTTTACCCACACTGAAAACCAAACGATGACATGATTCCAGTTATATAAGCCATTTGAAACACCGAGTTTTGAGTAAGACGAGGTTCGTATGGAGGTACTAGCAAAGGTTCTGGGAGATATGTTTTGACGTTAAATAACCCATGAGCCCCAGCTGGGTCTCGACACCAAGACAGATAGACTGACTGACCGTCAGTCGCAATGTGACTCTGTCTACCGTGACCTTGCAAGACGTAGGAGCCGACGAAAAGGGAAGTCTCAAATCTAAGACAGCAAAATATGGTCGCGAGTTCCAAGGGACTCGGACCCTAGAAAGACTGTGCTGGCAAGGACCAGCAGCATATTACAAAAGACATACCCATCCTCTCATTGGAGAGGGCGTTCCACAGAAACAAGACCGTAACTGTCAAACGGTAATAATTAATATCTGGTCATGAGCCCCAGATTGGGCTCAACACCAAGACTTCCTGACTGACCGTCAGTCGCAATGTGACTTTGACTTAAGGAGCCAGTATTCAAGCATTCGGCAGAACAGAAGTCAGTCAAGGCAGCCGCAGGAGGAGGTAGAATTGAACGCGTGATTAGAATATCTTATGTGTGATGATCAGTGATAGTGGTGATAACTGAGAAGGCATTGTGTATTGGGTGTAATTCAGTGACACTTGTATAGCTCCTGTGTTATACTGTAAATAAGTGAAGACTATTGAAGATGAGTGAATAGTTTAGTGTGTAGGGTTTGTAAATTGTGTAAACCTGCAACAGTGTTATGATTAATTGTAGTTATGACTTGTAGGTTAATAAACCAATTAACAATCCGAACGGCATCCACAGTAAGCCCAAACACATTACAATATCTTCAGCATTTGAATCAGTTCATGAAGTTATTGGGTTGCCCATATATGTAACTTATAATAAATACTGCAGTCTTCTGGAGTGTAATATCATGTACACTGGTACACAGATACCAACATTCTGGAGGAATCTTCTACTTCAGTCTTAATGGTCATTTCTAACACTGCACAGCTTATACATGTTTTACTGCAGTCACTTTTGAGTTTCAGAATTATAAAATCCACTATTTTCTGCAAGATTTGCATTATGATGAGCTGCCACACCTAATTTATATTACTAGCTCCAAGGATTCAGTGTGCCTTGTTGCATGTCATGCATTTCCCTCCCACAGCTGTCGAACTCAAGCCTACTCCTTTCCAAGACCCCTGAAATTGGAGTGTGGTAATACGATGTGCTCTCTTATCCAGCAGATTGCATGATTGCTGCCAAATTTGGTGTGGTGCTATGTTAAAATTCTAAATATTTTGCATATGTATGTCACATTAAGCCAGGGATGACCCTTGTGTTGTGCATCTGAAATGGTACTTGCATTTATGGTAATGCACAAGGTATTGTTTCCATATTACAGCAAGAATCACCTGTTCCATTTTGCTCCAGAGTATAATTTTGAACAGGCAGCCATTAAACTGGAGACAAGTTATTCTGTATTACATTTCATAAGATGGTGGCTTTATCTTTTCTCATGTGCTTAACTGCCATGGGAATGTAGCATAAAGGGTTACCCCCAGCAGGGGCCAGTCTTATGTTGCTACTATACCATTTGACATTTTCTTGCATCTATTTTTCATTTCAGTTGTCAGCCTATGCTGTTGGAGCCATCATTACCTTCAGGATATTCAACCGTTTTTAAATTGTCTTGTATTATGCTGAACCATTTCACATTTTGTTTACAGTCAGTACATTTGCTGTCATTATTGTTTCACTTATGCTGTAGAATATATACATCTGTTATTTTATCAAATTATTTTTGTGCCCCTATTACTAGTATTTGGGTTTGCACATCAGCAGGTGGCATGTCTGTCTATAGTTTGTATTAGATACCTTGCACATACTGGGGGTAGGACAGCAACAACAGAGCCAGAAGGGATGGGTATTGTTTGGCCACCTTGAAAACTAGACAGCGACATCAAAAATGGCAGCAAATGCTTCAATTTATATATGAACAGCAATATAGTTTACACAACAAATTTAGACTCATTATTAATTTCAATTGGCATTACACTATGTTGCTATGTATTACATAAAAAGTAAAAGTAAATCTATCCCTGTAACAGGCCATGAAGGCCTATAGGGTTGTGAGATGTTGAGGGTCCCACATTATCTAGACAATTGGCTCAAAGATGGCGGTAAGGTTGTCGGCCTTATGCACTGGCCACACTTTACTCCCCAGGAAAATTATTTAATTCCTGGTGCTCATTTCTGTTAGAGGCTGAGTTGACCTCAGGGCTATAGTGTGGCCAGAAGGATTAGGTCAACTGAAAAAATCCAATGACCTCATCGGGACTTGAACCCGTGACCTTCCAGCTTGTAGCATAGAGCCTCAACCAACTACACTACCGTGTGCCCCCTGTCGCTATGTATTATATTTATATTAAATAAAATGAGCTAGGATAGCTGTCAGTAAAAGAACTGTGGCCTGCGTGACCAAAAGGCTGGAATCTCATCACTTCTCTTCGCCACATAAAGGTTACTCACCTAGCTTCACTCCAATACACATCTGTTATACTGCGGCATGAAGAGGACCACTCATACCCATCTGATATCAAACTAAAATGCATGGAACTTTACCCACACCCCTACTATGCGGTTCCATAGCATGGTGCTTAGGCATGCGGGAAACTTGCCATTAATTAAGACCTTTAATAAGCTTAAGTTTGTACTTTGTAAACAAAATAATACTGATGTAACAAACATTCACAAGTGACCAGCTGCCTGGAATTACATTTAAGGTGCTGATAAATACTCTGGGCACATGTAAATACTATGTCTACTTGAAACTGGTGTCACATATGAACGGATCTCAAATTCATTTAAATAAATTACAAAAATTGTCTTCTGAGATAGGACACCATGTAAAGAACTTTAAATAATTTGCTCATATTAAATTATCAACTCCAGAACTTTCACCTCCTGAAATATGCAATACTGTCAGCTAATAAAGGTGACCATTACACTGAACATTATCCACTGTCTGGAATTTCTATGAAGACAATATTTCAGAAATTGAATCTGTTTGTCACCAGTTGAAGGCAGGCAAGGTAGGCAAGGTTCCTCCTGAACTCACTGGTATGAAGCTTGAGGCTAGCTCCTCCTCCTGGCCCAGCTGGGTAGGAACCTTTCTTCCCCCACACCTCATGATAAACAGGCATTTTCCAAAACAACAACAAACTCACGTTGATTGATAAAGTGCAAAAGAGTAGTCATCACCAGAAACATTTAAATTTAATGGTATTACTGCCAATTTCACTAATTTATTGAAGGACACATTTATACAGTTTTAAAAATCTGCTTAAAAAGCACTAAACACTACTAACTTTCAACGAAGTCACTACAATTCTAGCAGATGAAAACTGCAGGTGAAAGTATTTACACTGATTAATGAAAAACACATCATTACCACTTCCCATCATGTATTTCTAGCATGGAACAACGATAAGGAGAAACACTTATTTACCACTACATGCAAAAATTGTTTGTTCCTGACCTGAGCAATGTCAGTTGTATTGACAGTCAGCTAGCTACCTACACACATTTCAGAGACTCTACATCTCCAACAGCATTTCATACCAACTGTACACTCAGTAATCCTCTCCTTCATATTCATTATTATAGTTTCTTCCATTGGCTTCATTTTCCTCCTCTCCCTCCCTGTATCTGTCCTCATCTTGTTCATACTTCACTGCTGTATCTTCATAGTTTCCTTCCTCATAGTTTGCTGCAGCATAATCAGGATAATCTGCAACAGAACATATCAAAGCATGCTATATGCACAGAGATCCACATAAAGCTGGACCCCAACAGAAAATACTGTACTGACAGGATAATTTTCAAAGGATTACCTTTACCTACATTTCCAGATCTAACATCACCTGACTCTCTATGGGTTTTAACCTTTACTGGCCATTCACTCATTTACTGCAAAAGTGGGTGCACACACTCCAGCACATTTAATTTCTGAATACATGTATTATTATATCCAAGTTGAACTATAGCCAACAATCTTGTACAATGGGGAAATAATCTTTTACTGGACAATAAAACCTTACCTTTATATTAAAACATGGCTACCAACAACACAGAATGGTTCAAGAATGTATGCACCAAAACTGTCCACAAAGTATACAACTCTAAATGAATACCAAAATTGCCACTGGCATGAACTCACACACATACCTTGAAAACATGGTCAAAAGCACTGGTACCTGAATGGAGGACTTTCCAGCATGTTCTGTGAATGCCCATTTGTTCTACATTCCTCCGAGATACAAATTATGGTGTTTTCTGGTTTTAAATATACCACTGTGTACATGCACAAGGAAGTTAATCAAGTGAATAAGGCAGTGGAAGAGCCAGTTGTGTCTGGGAGAGGTGCAAACACCTGCACTTCCATCTGTTCCGGTATGCAGAGGCAAGAAACAAAACTGTGACAGTAATTGTGAAACCTGTAAATTTTTTAATCTTATGATTCAGGTCACAGTACAAACCTAGGGTTTAAAAACCTTAAGTACTCAACAAGAAAACTGACTCACATGTCACATGAAACTATTTCCCTGATGAAGGAACAGAACATAAAACATTAGGTGACTAAACATTCAGCATATAACATGCAAACAGGGCAGTTTCATAACGACAATGTTTGTTACCCAGAAAAGAAATGAAACCCACACCATATATTTCTTACAAAAAAAGAACCCCTCAGATATCAGACACTACTTTGAAAACATTTCTATTAAAACATTGCTTTTATAGCATAGATGAGTTCCTCTCCTATGTGGACAAGACTTAGTTCACATTAGGATCATATAATAATTTAAAAGTAAGAACAATTGAGCTTAGCTTAACACACACTAGGAGTGTATACTGCGTAACTCTCTTCTTGCAGGAAACAGGACGCCATGTGCTGGAGAAAACACAGCAGGGACTATGGGATATGGAGCCGAGGCGGTGGGAGTGGTGCTGCTAGAAACCAGTGTATCTGGGAGGTCTTGTGACCGGCCAATTCGATCAAGGTTTTCCGTGGTTTTCCTTGGTCCCAGAGCAAATGCTGAGTTGGTACCCAAATTCCACGTTGCACTGCATGCTTCACATGCAGCCCCCCCAATAGTAACATCATGAAACTTATTATAATACTCTAACTACACAAGAATGACATGTCTTATATCATGTATAATGATCCATGAACACGAAATAAATGAAATTAAATGAAATGAACTACTCTGAAGCTATACAGTAAGCCAGATAGTGGCTAAGAAAACAATCTTTAGCAAATGGATAGATAGTGAAGGGGTGCATGTTACAGCTGAAAAACATGAATCTATCAAGCTGCAGTTACAATGAGGTGGGGGGGGGGGGGGGAAAAACCAAAATTTTNTGGTGGTTCTTGCTTGATTCTAATTTCTTTCTCCTCTGAACGCTCAAACTCACGATCTCTACGATCCTTTGTGTCCCTGTAAATAAAATTAAAAGTATGGTAACTAAGAAAATCATAATTAAATCCACATGTGTACAATGTTATCATGGTCATTACCTGTCTCCTCTATCACGTTCTCTGTCCCTTCTATCCCTTTTTCGATCTCTGTCACCACGATCACGTTCTCTGTCTCTTTCTCTGGAACGACTACGTCTTCGCTTACGATCACGATCTCTTTCCCTATCACGATCCCTATCTCTGTCACGAACTCGGTCACGATCATCTCGTTCAACCTCCTCAATTTCTGGGTCCTTTTCCTTCACACGTTCACGACTGCGACGACGCTTTCTGTCTCTTGAACGACTGGAACAAACCATATTTACTTTACTCACTGCATACAAGATCAAATCTGTGTCTGAAAACAGGCACTTCAGATAACAACACTCAAGAAAGCATTACCTTCTAGACTTCCTGCGCTTGTCTCTATCTATCCTCTCCCTGTCTCTGCTTCGAGTACGTCTCCTGTCTCTGTCAGGCCGATCTCTCTCTACACGATCCCTATCAGGGTTGCCACCACGAGCAGATTCTCGCTCTCTTTCTAATCGATACCTTTCTCTTTCCCGTTCATTGTCTTCACGCCCTGAATGTTTGATGTTCACATCAGGACCTCCTCTTCGAGTACCACCTAAACCACCACCTTAAACATAATGAAAATGCTTGACTGATGCATCTGCTTTCAAAAAAGTGTATCTTTCTGTACTAATCTGCAATTTGATGATCAAGTTACCAAGTCTCCTCGGAAGCCAGCCCTTGACCGTGCGTGCTCTCTCAACATCCACCAATACACGACGGCCATCAATCTTCTTGCCATCAGCATGCTTGTAGGCAGCTGTAATGCATTAGTACCAATGAGAAGAAATACAAATTCAAACACTACCACTCAGAATCTATATACCATTCCACCATTCCATCCTTACCTGTACCAGTTCTCACAATGCAACGTATCTGGCTGTTTCACATCACTACAGTGATCATGTCATATGTACTGAAAGTGTAACAGCCAAATTTAAGGAATGGTAGGTAAGATATATATATATTTCAACAGGCAACCATATTACTAGCACTTATGACCAAACAAAAACTGTAACCTTCTCCTGTGATTCACTTCTGTTTATGGACCTCGTGATTAAGTGTTCCTGAAAACTGCCATTTTCTGCAGAGCACAAAGGAAATGATTGCTGAAATACAGGACAAGGTGGGAACATAGCAGAAGGGGAAACAGAAAATTCAGTGGGAACTAAAATCTATTTTGTTTCAGAAATAATAATTTGATCATTACCTGTGCAATACCCACCCATATTTCTTCTGTTCAGTTGGATAAAAATATATTTTTAAAACCATACTTATAATAGGGATATAATTCCACATTATTTACACACACGAAAATTTGAATGGGCAATTTACCTTTACAATAGTGTGCCCACTGACACAGTCAACGAGAAACACAATCTCTGAAATCATGCAAGATGAGAATGGCTACACACTGCACTTGTGAACATAAGAACCGTGTATACCTACCAATCTTTACTTACGCAACATGAAAAGTGCAAATCTGTGAGGCGGTATTTCTAGACGAGTTTCTCGCGCAACAGGTGGACCAAATGAACTGATGGACGGATTCCTCCTTTGATTTATTTACCTGGTGCGCCATTTTACTTACGTCACCACGCGCAAATCAACTCAAACCCACCCTCTATTTGAGAATCTTAAACTATACCTACCAAGCAATAATACATAATGTAATTAATACTGGGCTGCCTTAGCTACTGGAGAAATTTCAAGATCATGCCCTTGATATTATCAATGCCAAAACTGATGAAACCTAATTAAACTGAACTCTTTGCAGCCCTGCTATATTTCCTTATATGAATAAATAATTATGCATTCTCACACTTTCATGGCCCATACTGTCAAAATCATATGAACTGAGAAGAGAGTAGTTTGTTTGCTTCAACAGCCATTAAAGCCAGTGACTGCATGAGGCCTGTTGTAGCCATGTCATTAATTTGCACCTCAGAAGCAGGCACTGCAGTATACCCAGTCTCACACACAATTAATGGAAACTTAATCTGTGTACCTTACTTATTCCTGCAAATGCATATGAATACATTTGAACAAGTTTACACTTTCCTTTACATCAGTGTAACTTTTATACCATACAAAAATTCCTGCCCACCAACATCTGTTTCATTTCATTACAGATATATTTGGAAATGTGAGAGTTTAAATCATACTGACTGCCCTCTGTGTGATCAGGGTGGAATAAGCCTCGTGGTAGGTTCCCATCAGCACAGCTTCCTAATCAGTATGCAGTTACACATTTTGTGCAGTACAAACAATGGGGATATGAAACATTCTGAACCCCTTGCATTAGCTGAAAACCCCTGGATACTAATAATAAAGCTTGTTTACTTCTTTGTATGTTGGGTCTTACCACACATACAAACCTATTTTAGCCAGCAATGTTTGGATTTTGCACACAAAGGGGGGGCACTAGTTGCCAGCAGCCCGCCATGCTGTACCAAGAACAAGATAAAAACCTGTATTAATATTTCTCTCTGGCAAACTATGCTGGCTCATTAGTGTACAAAGCATAGCCAAAATTATTCTCCTCTTCAACATATATGTGTACTTGAGGATAAAAAATGAATGGCACCAACTAAATGTTTACTCAATGTTTACTGGGAATGGATCATGATGGATTCAGAAGGAGCTGTGTTTATTTATCCCACTACTGATGGCCAAGTTAAGCTTCCTGAAGTTTCCTAAATCTCTTACACAATTGTGGATGCAAAAATCTGTTCAGTAATGGAAACAGCAATGAGGACAAATGCATGTAAACAGGTAGGGCTACTGGAATTATGGAGAACACAGAATTTAAGAGACTGGAACTGTTTCCTCAGGTGAAAAAGCCAATTTCACTCATTCACTGAAGGTGGTTCTAATGGAACCAACTGAGAAGAGTCTCTTTATTTTTTCGCCTAAAGACAGACATACCTAGTCTCCAAAACAATGTGTCCTGTTTTGAATACTACAATGCACAAAATCCAAGCCCCACAAACTGAATTGTAACATAAAACTGTCAGAACCCTTCAGAATAGATAAACAAGTACAAAACCCAGGAAGTGCTGCAAAATAAAAACGCTTACACAGAAGAAGTTCATTTGTAAGAGGTGCAATGAGATGTTCAAATACATGTATTATTATAACTACCAAACACACATCAATTTTCTGGGGGTCCTATGGTCCATACATTTAAAATGAGAACATAACTCAGATGAACCTTATAGTCTTGTTTTCAATCTACAATGTAACAGTGTTAATTGAACTATTAATTCACACTTAACCTTTATTGGGCGAACGTCATATGATGTTGTTAAAAGTTAGGGCAGCTGAGCGAACGACATCATATGATGTCGCAGATTCCACGCGTGTAAGGTTTTTTTTTTCTAAAATTAAATTAAAAATATAAATTGTTGTTCTATTTACATGATTTTTGGTCACCGCCATTATAAGGAGACAGCCTTCCTTCCTGCATGATCTAATGTAATCTAGCGATGTCATATGATGTTAAAAGTAAGGCCAAATGGCCGAATGACATCATATGATGTCGCGCATTCCACATGTGTAAAGATTTTTTTTTAAATTAAATTTAAAATATAAATTGTTGTTCTATTTACATGATTTTTGGTCACAACCTTTATAAGGCGACAGCCTTCCCTCCTGCGTGATCTAATGTAATCTACCGACGTCATATGGCTGAACGACCTCATATGATTTCGCGCATTGCACGCGTGTAAAGATTTTTTTAAAATTAAATTTTTGTTCTACTTATGTGATATATGTTCACCATCTTCATGAGGAAACAGCCTTCCCTCCTGCGTCATCTATGGTAATGTGGCCTTCGTATGGTACTGCCGAAAACATTCCGAAATGCAGAGTCCGACGTCGCACCTCACGCACTTCATACAAACGCTAGACCACTTCCCACGCGAAGAGCACACACGACACCTCAGTTGCGATTTAGAGGAAGTAGGCCAGTGATGTCGAGCTGCAATGATATTTATCCCCGCAGCTACACCGGAATAATTATTCACACCTCTCCAGCCACACTGGTCTGGCGG